AGCATCAATGTGTGGCATGGAGGCTGCACAGCTGCAGAAAGAAAAGCTTTGCAGAGAGTGGTGAAGGCTGCACAGAAATCTGTTGGAATCAGCCTCCCCACCATCACAGACATCTACACCTCCAGATGCAGGAAGAGGGCCACCTGCATCATGAAGGACCCCACTCACCCAGCACACACACTTTTTGCCCCACTCCCCTCAGGAAGGAGGTTAAGGAGCATTAAGTGTAGAACCACTAGACTGAGGAACAGCTTCTACCCTGAGGCTGTTAGACTCATGAATCTCTAACTAGAATAATCACTGTGAAAAACCATATCATGTTGCTGCTGATCTGTTTCATGTTGCTGCTGATCTGTTTCAATGTTGATGTGTTCATGCGTGCACATCTGCTCACAGACTCATGTTCATGTTTGTGCTGATGTTCAATGTTTTATGTTATGAGTGCTTAGTGTATATTTAGTTGATGTTTTTCTTAGTTCATATCTTAGATGTTATTACTGTTTTTCTTATACATTTTATTGTTGGATGTAACTGGGACCCTGTGTACATAATTTCGCTCCACCACATGTACCACATGAGGACAACCCAGTACACAGCAGCGTCATCAAGCTGTTTAAGGACGCAAAGACCCTTGTCACACATTTCAAAAGGGCAGGGTAAGAGAACGTAAAGTCTTGTAATCTCTGCCTGGTGAGGCTGCTTAAATATTCATAAAATATAATAAGCAAAATAAATAAAGAAAAATTGAGGTACTGTAATTTATAATTGCAAAGGTCACATTTTCTTGACTTAATTTTAGTTGTAAAGCTCTTCTTTTTAATAAAATATTTTTTCCAAAAGAAAGGCCAACAAATTGCAATTTTTGTAGTCCCTGTAACTCTATTTTGACTTGTGCACTGTCTTCTTTCAATTTTAGGTTACAAAAAGCACTGGACCAGTCACTGAAGCAGGCTGTGGAGACGAGGTGGAACACCAGACTTGTAATGCTCCAGTCAATAAATGATGCTCTTAAGTAGGGATGGAGCCGATCCAGTCCAGTATCCATATCGGCTTCCGATACCAGAATAATTTACGTATCGGATTTTTCCGATCCACCTGCCGATATTTCCGATCCATGATGCATGTTGGCCTCAAACTATGGAATGGATTTCCTGAACAGCGGCGTGTCTCATGAACCCAGAGTAATAAGACCCGCCTCACATTCAGGAAATCCATTTCATAGTTTGCAGCCAGCGACAACGTGAGGACTGAGTTAGCAGCACTGTGGCTAACGGCTAACAAACTTTTCAACTAAACATGTCCGTTGTGTGGAAGTATTTTACACTAGAAACACCACAAAACAAGACAGCATCGTGCAATGTCTGCAGAGCCATAGCGCCACATTAAACCGTGGTAAAGTTAGTTTTACGATGGACATTCGAGCTCCGTGGCTTCAGCAGGGCGCTGCTCGTTGCTCATCCCACAACATGCGACTCGACCCCAGCCAGCCGCGTCCAATCTGCCCTGCTCAGTCTACCCGTCTCTGAGGAGGGACAGACTGAGCGTGAGAAGGGGTTCTCTGCAGACCAAAAGTGGGCGTTTCTGGCGAATAGGCGTTTATGGGCGGCGAACACTGATTGGCTAACAGTATTTAATAGGCGTTTATCGGCGGCGAACACTGATTGGCTATGGGTAACACTCAAAGTCACGAGAATTATTTTTGAGGTAACGTTTCTTTGCGATGTTTGACAAAGAAATATGATTTATTGTACTTATAAAG